GATGATCACAGGTAATGACTGTGCTTCTGGAATTGTTGACTTACATAGAGCTATGCCCTGCAGTACATCTATTTCTGAGTTCCTGGCTGAGCATTTTTTTTAGCCAGTCATTTGGGGGTTTGGGAAGGGTCACACCGACATGGTCCACCTCTGAACCTGAGCTTCAAATGCTGTAAATAGTAGTAATTAAGAACAATCATTTTGTTCTTGAACTTCAACAGAAGAAAAAGTTTTAAAGTCATATAAAGCTCCATGGGATAGTGTTTTGAGTAGTGTTTTCTATGAACACAATCACAGACATTTCCTCTGATCCTCCCAGCAGTGTTATCAATTGCAGCTTTCCCAGGAGAAAGCGTGGGTTGGGAACTAGGTCTAAATATGTGGATATATGACCTGATCCACGTCCTGATGAAATCACTGCTTCTTTGCTGTTGATTTTAGGAGAAACAGAGGCCAGCAACTCTGGCTTCAGAAATGATTGGTAAGAGAAGGTTGACATAACTGTGAATGGTTTTCTTAAGGTTGCTTCATGGAATATTATATCAGTGTTTAAAGTTCTTGAACAGAATTCTCATAAACTCTTTTTTTCAAAATACCTTTAAAACGGCTTTCCTGTTGCACTGAAAACATCAAGGTAACCAGAAAGAATATTATGAATCTGGGCTTTGGAAGAGCTTTTGGAAAACTTTGGAAAAACACGTATTTAATTTTAAAAGGATTTGGCTGCAGAGATTCCACAGGTGTTTTTTAACTTATCATTCTCTGAGGACTGTGGGTATTTGTCTGCCTGAAATTAGTGTTATGTTTGTACATTTGTTGGGGGCAAAATATACAAAACTGATCCAGTAGACCTCACAGTTTCAATATAAACTTAAATCCCTTTCAGGTGCAGAGATTTTAAAAATCCTTACCTGAAAGAGGATGGGCTTAACATATCAGATATTTGTGTATCTTTACTGTATTTCTCTCAAAAAGAAGGTTAATAAAGAATGACTGTGAAGTGAGATGCCCCAGTCCAATAAGGAGATAAAATTTTACTTTGATCTCTTCTAGTCTCTGTTGCCACATCGACTCACCAACAGTCCTAGTGGCAAGTAGAGTGTAAGCAATGATGTTGAAGAAATACAGAACAAAAATTCCTAATAAACCCAACGAATAAATTCTGAATTTAGAATAGTGAATTCAGTCACAACAGTATATACTGCATGGGGTACAGAAGCTATATTCTCTGTCATTTTTAGAAATAGTCTCGGGGAAAATAATCCATATTGTCCATTTTCTATAAGAAAGTACAAGTCAAATTTCATGGTTAGCAGCTATGGCAACCTCTTCTCCCTTCAGATAAATTGTAACTGAACCGTGGGTTTTGCCCTAGTATAAACTTTCAGGAAATCTTATGGAAAGTAATTAACTTTTAGTTTCTGAAAGCAAAGATCAATAAAGTCCTTTTTGTGAAAGAGAATGAATGTTTTCAGTATGTTAATCTGCAGAATTTGTCTGAATGTGAGAATAGTTGCTGACCCAGGTCATTTGACTGCTCATTCTGACAACATCATTTTATTACTGGAAGCTTGGGTTTTGTAAGCTACAGAAATCCAACAGTAAGTAAAATTTTGGGCATTAATTCTTTTGAAATGCAATATATACTGGACTCTGGTTTAGAATAAGCAATTATTCTCAGAAAAACATCTATGAAGGCTACTTTGTAGCATTCAATGTTTAACAATATCTGTGACTAGATGCTTGCAGTGTTGACATGCAGAAAGATTGCTCCCATACTAGCAAATTGGGAAAATTACTATGTATTTCTTTTTGCTCACAATTAATATTCTGTCACCAGAATATAGTAATAATTATGACTTTGCAGAATGCAACTGTGTAATGACAAACAGAATATACAATAAGATTTCTGAGAATAACAAACAGATCCGGTTTTGTATTGGAGTGAAATCAATACAGAGTAAGAATGGAGGAAGGACACCTCTTTTTTTAATGTTGGAATTCGTTCATTCTTCACTGCCTGTACTGACTCAGGCTTTGTCACTTGTGTCTTTGCTAGGTGGGTGTGAAATGCTACCGAGTTAAAATAATGTGTTATGTTTCCTCTGCACATATATAAAAGACTGGAAGAGGCAGTGGGAAATTGGAACCTTTCATTATTTGTCATGCTGCATACTCCATGCTATGCCAGAACAATCAGCGGATAACATAAGGGTCTTCAAGTTTGACATAATCCTGCAGCAAAAGTACTAAGCTAAAAATTCTCACCACTTGAACATTTCTCTGGGGAGATTTGAAAGCATCTGCTGTAAAGGGATTTGGGCACCCTGTTCTCACTGAAATTAGAAGATACTTCCAATTAGTCTTAAAAGGAATTGCTTATTTCAATTACCAAGGCCACTTGCAAAATCACCAATGCCTAATAAAGAAATGGTTTTGGCCCAAGAGACTGGAAAAAGCAAAGTGCTGCTTGAGATTTTTAAGAGTAAATAAGTATTTGATAGTCTATAAATAAGTATTCTCTTTTTCAAAAGATCTTTTACTACTCCACACTTCCTAATATTTTGTCCTCCTTAAGGTGTCTTCAGCTGAGGACCAAAGCAGCAGTAAATCATAGCTGGAGCAATTAGCCCAAGATCAGGCACATTCATTTTACAGGTCTAAACCCCAAATTTCTTGCTTATCAGTCTCATAATTAGTTTGCATGCCATATCCAAAATACTATATGTTTTTAACTGACATCCCAAAAATTTACATAAAACATGAGTTTTCCAAAAAGATTATATTTCAAAGGTTTTTTTCAAGATTTGCTGGGGAAAAGGCATATTACAGCAGTCAGATACTATTTCTTAAGCTTCCCAGAGCTAAGCCATGCAGCATAACTTTACTATAGTAGGAAGAAACTGTATCCCAATCATTGCTACTGAGGAAAGAATTGACTTTAATGCTTTAGAAAATAACCCTCCTAAATCTAAGCATTGGATTAAAGTGTTTGGAAAGAAATGCCCACTGTTTTTTGTGGGGCTAATTCACAGCACTACTTCCAGTAAATATTAAGAAATGGCAACTATCACCTGTCACAATTGGTGGTATGAAAACCTAACAGGATATCCTGGATTCCTTCATCTGAGCAATACAGTTGTTAAATGTGCTGTTCTAATATCCAAACCACATACATTGAAGGGATAACCCAGCACAGGGTTTGATTGCACAAATAAAAGATCTTCTGCTCAGTTAAAAATAATGTCACATCAAAGAAAATAACTTCCTCCACACACCTTCAAGTAAAGGGGCCCAAAATACATTATTCAGCAGTATTTGGTGTCTTACTGATAAAAACCCTTTATATCTGCTACTGTATAAAATTTGATTAATTTTACGTCAAACACATTTTTGGTTAAGGAATGATGCATTCTCTTGCTGGCAGTTGTTAATAAAATGTCACCAGTGACAGTGTCCAGATCAAATCCCTCTGGAAGGCTACACTGTTATCTTCCCAGATCTGATTTCTCACCGTTGTTGGTACGCGAATGCAAGCCTGAGCAGTGGCATCTCTGTAACAGTGTGCCATAAATGTAAATATGTCAGACAGGGCTCTTTATCATGTTATATATTTTTTTTTCCACAGTGTGGGGGGGGATTCTAAGCATTTTAATTACCTTGGAAAAATTATGAGTCAGTGGCCAAGTGATTAGCATGCAATTCTGTTATTTACTCTTCAGTAAACAATCTTGTCAGAGAATCCAAGTCTACAAGCACCATTTTAAGAAAACATCATTAAAACATTAAACTTGATGAGTCCAGTTTAGATAATATGTAATTAAATCAGTAAACACTTCAATTTTTTTGTTGATTTACATTCTATCAATATAATATGAAACATGGCACTGATTAATAGACAATGTTTCAAAATCTTCCTTTCATGTCAGACTGTTTTGTCCTCAGTATAAAACTTGCCACTTTCTAAGGGAAGAACTCAGTTACTAAGGAAGTAACTGATCAGGTCAGAGATGTTCTTTTAACAGCAGAAGTAAGAGCCCTGTGTAGCACCTGTGATCTGGTGACTGTGCTGCTCCTGTCCTCTTTGGTCCCTGGGAGAGTCTGAGATGCTTTTAAGGGTCAATGAGGATATTCAAACCAGTTCTCCCAGTCCCATTCATTTCCCAGAAGGTCCATGCTGCTCTGCTCCTGGCTGTTGTAAGAATCAAGACATTTTGTGCGCAGGGAGTGCAAGTACTTAGTGTGTTGGAACAATATGAGTTACATTGCCAGGGAAGCCTCTGACCAAACTTTTTCAAAGAAAAAAAAAAAATCTTTTCTTTTAAGAGAAGCTGAAACTTCCCCTTTTACTATATGTAAATAAAATTGCCATGAGCTATTCTTAAGACCTAGATATGATTTCTCTGAAACCCTGAATAATGTAAGGTGCTGACTTCATTCTTCAGGACTGGGGTCTGAGGGTAAATAACTGTGGCACAAGACCAACCAAACTAGCTGAAATAAAAAGACAATGTAAGGTTTAACTTGGTGACTCTGAAGGCTAGTTGCCTCCAAAGAGGAAAATTCAGTTACTGTATATATAAAGAGAGCAATGGAGAAACACGGATTTGTTGTTGTAAATCACTTCTCCCTCATGCCCACTTTAGCATTGTTTAGCTAGTGCTGGGTATGCATTTTGAATCTCTGCCAGGTTACTTTACAGCTCACACCATACTGACATTTTCTGAGTTAATGTTGGCACAGAACAGTATTTTCCATGTGTTTTTCATACAATCCATCCTACATAGCTATATGTTGACAGAAGAAGACAGAAATGTTTATTGACTGTCTCATGCAAGGAAAAATGAGTACAGTTTTTGCAACGTGGCCTTGAACTGAAGAGGTACCATGCACCATTAATTCCCAGTTAAGTTGCTGACAGGTAACTGTAGATCTGAGGCATGTAATAGAAGCATTGACCAAAGTTTCTTCTCTATAAAACAGGAACCTAAATCCATTGGCTTAACTAATGTGCAAAAGCACATAACACCTAGCTTTTCCCACTGAAACCATTTGGAGCTCCTGAATGCCCAAACGACCTGACAGCATTTTCCTACCTAACAGACTGGGTAGCAGACTAGTAACCCGGTTTAGATTGCTGTTCCTACACACTTGGGTACAGCATTTCTGCATCTAATTGTAGATGTTCTCACAGGACATGAGAAATATGAAAATTAAATCTATATTTAAGAAATTAGTGATGTCTTGCTCCCACCAGAGCTTTCAATGGAATTCACATGACCTGAGTTGTTTGTAAGCTCTGTTTGATAGTGGACCTCTTCTGCACTGCTCAGATTTGCTTTAATTGCAGAGATTGCTCAAGCACTCTGCTACTAAACTGCTATGGGATTGTTTCTTCCTCCTGCTGAGCTGTTTTCAAATACTGAGTTACTTTCAGCATACTATGTCACATTATTGAAGCTCTGAGTGTGCTGGTAGATGCTAGCTCTCTCTTGATTGGAATGCAAGAGTATTTCCTGTATTTTTATTTTTATTTTGAGAAGGAGGAGGCTGGGTTTTTTTTTCAATTAGAGGACAATCCCTGCATGATTTAGAAACTAAACAGGGGACGTTGCAACAAAATGACAGTTGTTTTTAATGAAAAAAATACAAGCTATTAAAAACTGTTCTGAAACACGTAAACTCAAATAACTGACTTGTATGGCATTTAGTTTTCCAATTTTTCCTTCTCATCAAATTTAAGCCAGAGTTGCTTTCTTTTTTATTCTATTTAGATAATAAACACTTATTTGGAAACCGTGTGAGGAATTTGCTCTTTGAGAAGCAATGAAGTGGAACTGTTTACGCTTTCAAACCTTGATGAAGTTTTCAGGCTACTGGTGTTAGTGCATTGTCACTGTCATTTTTCTCTGTAGCAATTAGCATAGGTTCATGAATGTATGAATAAATTGATAAGTGATAACGTGTTGTCTTTTTCTAGTACAATTGTAGCCATCATCTTTCTCCTGTTTCAACTTGTCTGTCCTAATACCTGTGATAAGTTTTTGTACCATCAAGGCAGTCTGTGACAGAAGCAAAGCTAGAACAGAATAATTCATTGCCTTGACCACCAGGCAATGTTTCATTTTTTCCTGTACTTCTAGGTCTCAGTCACTCCATGCTTTCTAGTATAGCAACGAGTTGTAAAGCTTTACAGACAACAGTTACCTTCGAGTCAGACCCTGATATCTATCCCCAGAAGGGTCTGAAGGAGGTTACACTGTGATTCATTTACATGTGGGAGAGACTTCATAATGTCACATCCCTCACGGCTGAAGCATTCAAGTGACATGGGGAAGAAGGAGAAGAGATCTGAACCTGAGTTTTCCATCTCCTGCATAAATATTCTTGTTACCATGATATCTGACAAGTTACAGACATGACTTCGTTTTTCAGTTTCTCCTAAAGGAAAGTGAAAAAAACAATTTAGTTCCTTTCAGAAGGTGAAATCTTGCAAAGTTTTGATTGATTGGTTTCCTATGTGACAATAGTATTAGGGTATGTCATTAGTCCTTCAATCCTGAGCTCAAATGAGACTATTCCACAAGCAGACAGAAGCAAGGAAATGTCTTGCTCCTTATGTTAACGGAGTTAGGTATTTACTGTACTTGTTTACCAGGTGCTGAAATCCATCACTACAGAAGCCAGGCACATAATTTTAGGCATGTCCCTCGAGGAAGACAGTAGGAATTATGGATTGGTTGGAAATGCTATCTTGAGTACTGTTTTTTTCAGACTGTAATAGTTATACTTCATGCTTTATGAAAGCAAGTTGTGCACAGAGCCATTTCAGGGGTTGGCTATGCCTATTTTTAGTAAAATTCCAAAAAAGGGAAACAAAAAAGAAAGACTGAGGCTTCTGAACATATCTGCTCTCACGAATTCAACATCAGGGCAAAGAACAGCACAACTAAATGTCTCACAGTATCAGCCTGTATGGGATCCTTCCCTTTTTTAGTTTATATCCCTTCACCCCACCCCAGACACAAGCACTCTCAGAGGCAAACCTGCCTATAAAGTTATGTAAATACCAGCCTTGTAGCGTTTACATTAAGTTGTTTCTAGAAGGCAGATTCATTTAAGGAGGGAATATTATATACTTTTTCTTCCAGGCTGGTTCTCAGCTTCAACCTCTTTCAATGTAAATATCAAAAGAGAGACAAACAGTCTTTTTTTTTTTTTTTTTTTTTTTCAAAAATGGCAGAGGCAGTCTTGAGCTAACATTTCCAAGAGGCTCAAATATTTTAATGAAAACAATCATTTGACCTTGTCAACTTTGAGTAATCTTATTAGATTTTTTCACTAACTGTCTCCAGCAGCTTTTGAAACGAAAGTTGCGTTTCAGAAAGATGCATGAGATGAGCTGGTTTTCTTAAGGAAGATCTAAGAAAAGTGAAATGTACATTATTGGCCAAAGAAGTCAGCTTCATAGACCTGGAGACACATCCTTGTACTTATTCCCTTCCACGCCGCCCCTGCCTTTCATTTCTGCACAGGGCTGTTTGTGTCTGCAAAACAGGACATTCAGCCAGACCTTCCAGCAACCCTTTGCAATCTTCAGGGTTTGATGAAGTCCAGTGACACTCTGCATATCCTCAGTTAAGTGAATGTAATGTCCTGCTGGGTAAAAACTAAAAATGCAACAAAAATTTAGTATTTACATATAAAAAGCAGTACCCTAGCTGAATGAGGTGACAGGTTCATGTTCTTTGCTTTGCTGCTATGGAAGTCTTCATCAAGTGAGGTCAGAGCCTTTTAAACTGTGTTAAGCATAGCCCTCAGTTATTCCAGGGCTAGGAGGGACACCAGGTCTTTTTTCCACTTACAATGAAAATGTAATACTTGGTGGTTCATCATACATCCTAGCCTGTAAAGAAACATTGTCCTTTAACAGTGATTAACTGAATGTCACTGACTGTAGTTGTGAAAGAACAAATAATGTTATTGGGGTCCCTGCTGTGATGTACTGAAAGTGGCTGATAGCAGGCAGAGAAAAGTCAGAGGGGTATCTGAGTATATAGATATCCATTCTGTGCATGTATTGTGCAAAGGCAGAGAATGACATTGTCAGCCAGAAGGAAAAAAAAATCTTGATATATTAAGAGTCAGAGTGAAACACGAACATTTGGAGAATGTGATGATGAGCACCTTGCTTGTTAACTAAGGTACTGCAACAAATATACAATGTCGGACAAGAGGCAGCAGCTGATTGAAAATCATGCTGGATTAAGGAATTTGCTTTTCCTTCTATTTTGTCTGCAGTGACATTTCTGCAAAATAGCAATAGTGTCTGCAACCCAAGATGGCACTTGACAAATGGTGCTTTTTCCTCATCGTTGGTGCTCTCTGTTCATCTCAGGCTTAATGGAGTGCGGAAGTAATTGAATTCATGTCATTGCTTTATCTTGTATTAAGAGCCATTATAGTTCTGAGGAGATACCCAACAGCTATTTCATTCTCAGCCTAGAGAAGAGCAGAGAATCTGATGTCAAATACAGCACACACACACTCACACAAATATTTACATGGATTTTAAATCATATAATTGAGTTAGTTTGCATGGAATTATGCAGCTAATGAATAACTAATAGGCTACTTCCATTGATAGGAATGATTAACAGCAGGACATAGGCTTGACTCTACAGCCCTTCCAGCTGGCACCTGGTCATATAAGTAGCTTCATCCATGTAACTGTGACTACAGCCTGAAATAAATGACAGTTTCAGCTCAGGGCGTGACCATACAATGACAAAGAGGAAAGCTGCTTTGAAAACAGCACTTCTTGTTCATACAGCTTGGACAGGAAAGAGGAGCTGCAAATATATTTGCTGTCACTTACTGAAGCAGCCAGGGTACATGTCAGTCTGTTCATGGCCCAAAAAGTAACGAGTCCCTATAATAAGCAATAGTGTTCTTTGAAGGTCTCCATTTAAACATGGTTATACCCACATGGAACACGGCAAGACAGATACCTAGCTTGTGCCCTAGTGGTTCAATTATATTTGGATAAACACCTCACAGGTACTAATCTAAACTTTTAACTAGTTCTGCTGAGCTGGTAGTCATAGAAAGGCTTCATTGGGAGATATCCAACTATTCATTTTGACTCAGCCATAAGTACTGCAGGAATATCCTACCTCTCCAGTATTGTGTTTCAGGTTCCAACAAAATCTATAAAGGCAGAGCATATAAAAGCTAAGCATACTTTGAGAGAAAAATACTATGAAATAGAAGTTTACAAAAAGAAGGTGGCAACAGCTTCTTCTGTATTCAGTGCATAGTGAAAAACTCCCCATAATGAACAGAATAAACACTGGTGTTGACAGCTAAACCATTATATATTTATTAAAGCATCAGTTACTATCTCCAGTGACTCTAAAACTTAAAGTCAATCTTCATATCTGTCTGTTGCTTGAGCTATAACATAAGACTTCCACGGCGAGTTCAACTCAAGGCTCCTTATCCATGGGGCATCAGGTGATGTGTTCCCTGGGTATCATGCACAGCTTGTAGCTTGCTGTAGCAAAGGGGGTTAAACTAAAAGACTCTCTTTATTGGTTTGTCAGATTTTTGAGAATTTTTTTGCTGCTCAATATCTTGCTACTTTGAAATAACTTAAGTAAACAATGAGACAAAAAATTCAAACCTTTTGAGACTTATGGCTATCACTAGGCAACTACTTATATGCCGCTAGATATTCAAAAGCACTTACAGATACTGCCTCTGTTGGAGGCAATAACATCTTAAAAGCCAGACTACTTCAATCAAGCTGCCTACTGAAGCATAAGAAAATAAGAAATGCCCTCTCACAGCAGACGCCGTCCTCTGACAAAGATGCTTAGGATAGCAGATAAAAAGAGAGTGCTCTAAAAGGAATGAACCCCACCACTTCTGGGATTCAGTGGTATGAAGGCATCCAGACTATTACATTTAATGGCCACTACTAGACCTAACTCCTATGAATTTGTGAACCTGTTTATGTTTTTGTCTTGCAAAACATTACTTGTCTGTGAACCTAGCTTATGCATGCCATATTTAAAAACACTTCTTTTGTTTCTTTTATGTCTGCTGCCTGGTAGTTTAATTGGGTGGCCCCTAGCTCTTGTTTTGTGAAATTTTTGTAGTAATTTTCTACCTACCTGTCTTCTCTACTTCCTTTCTACCTACCATTCACAATTTGTAGAACATTATCTTTCCAATATTTATGTGCCCAGGTTTCAAATTCTGTGTTGACCTTTTATTTTGTGAATATAGCAAAAAGTTTTCCCTGCCTAGGGAAGAGGATGAGAAAGAGGGGTGATACTAGTGTTTACTGTCTGTATATCATCATTTCTTTGCTAGCTCACAAGTGGTGTAAGAAACAGTATGTGGTGTTAACCACCCTTGTTTTAACCGACCTCATTCAGCATTGATTATGCTGGAAATCTGAGGAGAAATTCAGTATGATATGGATCTTGGTCTGGTGTTTTCACCCCAGTTAAATTTCTATAAGGAAAGTAGTATGACAGAGTATGGGAGATGTGTAACAGATTGTTTTGATTCTTTTAAAAGTTCCAGCTTTAACTGTGAATATTCTGAGGATCATTCAGTATAATAAATGTGTTTTTTAAAAGTTCTTGAGTTTAACATGCTGAAAGAATACATTAGATTTTCAACTGCCAACAAAGCATCACTATGGATGTAAGCTTTGCAGGTAAGCTGATACCTTCCAAAGCTCATCTTGGAATGAATTTCTTTTTTATTAACTAGGTGAAGCAACAGTGAAGAAGAAACCAGCTCCAAAGACTCCTCCAAAAGCAGGTAATTTTTTACATGTGTCATCCTGTAGGAATAAATAATAAACCAATACAGTTTTAAAGGACAGACACAACATTTCTAAGTACAGATCTTTGCCTACTAAATTTGTTTGCATATGTAATTAAACAGTGAGTATAACATTCTATGAGGAGAAAACTGGAAAGCAAAGCCCATTTTTCAAGCTCATTCATAAGTTTACTAAGCTAAGACTTAAATTACGACCATGCAAAAGAGTTACTATCAAATAAACTACAGCAAGATCCTACCAAATGTCAGCAGTAGTGTTGTAACAACAAACCTTAGGCTTCAGGGAATTTGCTCCGTATCACAGAGTGCCACCTCTGCATAAGTAGCTACCACAGAGAAGTTGACAGATTCTACATTTTCTCATAACTGGCATTATGGTAGCCTGTTCCTGTGTTTGCACTATCCTAAGACATTTTTAGACTTTTAAACTGTTCAAGCTTTTTTCTTTGCCAGATGTGTACCTCAGCCTAGCTTCCTTCAGACATTTTCAAAACAAAAACACTTTTCAAAGAACAAGTCTAAGGGGAAAAAAACCCACTCTGTTTCAATTGAAAAGAAAAAGAAAGCATTTTTTTTTCATGCCCAGTAGCCCTGTGCTTTGGAGAGGAATGTTATATTTGGCAGTGAGGTCATTCTATTGTTAGGGAATGCCTTCTACCATTTCTGTTAATATGTCCTCAAATCTGCCTCCTTCCCCAAAAATATTTCTTTATTGTGCTGCTCTTGTAAAGCAACAGAATAGGTTTCACCCTATTTCTGGCATCTGTCACGAGCAGCTACCAGGGGTCTGGCACACTCAGCATCACAACCAAGAGTCAGGAAGTAGCACTATTAGCAAAAGAGATGTTCTGCCATCTCTTGATACTCTGGCAGTGAGAGGGAAGAGGAGGAGAAATACCGGATTCAGAAATGGAGTATGAATGGGACTGCAAGATTTAAAAGAAGCACTGTAACACACAAACAAAAGGATCTGTCATTGCTCACAGGAACATTGAGTGTGATAGAGAAAGACCTCGATTTCCTTCCTTGTCTCTCTAATAGATGTCCCACATGATGTTTACCTGGCTACTGAAGCCAGAATCTTCATAGGCAGGTGTTGAGTCTTAAATGTTCTGAATGCTGTTGATGACACTAGGGAGCAGGTTTGCAGACCTCCTCAGCACATGCAAATTGATATGAAGTTAGCTGGAGCTATTCTTCAAAAATACAAAGTGCAAAAGAAAAAAGTAGTTTTTCTGAAAAACCCAACACAAAATTTCATAAGCTGTATATTTGGAACTGGTGGTAGGTCTTAACACTTTTGTCTTTTGGATTTCTGGACCTTGGTCTTGCATGAGCAAACTTCTGATGGGTATTCTTATTGCTTCACCTCAGCAGAATGAACAATGTTCACAGAATTGTTTCATTGCAAGCAACAGACAACTGCTAACCTGGTTTTCAAATTTCTGAAACTGTGGAGCTGAGAGGTGTATGTGTTCTGAATTTTAAGAAAAATAGAGACTACAGTAAACCTAAAGAGAGATTTTTTTTTTTTTTCCCATCAGCTACTCCTCCTCAGATTACTCAGTTCCCAGAAGACAGAAAAGTCCGTGCAGGTGAATCAGTGGAACTGTTTGCCAAGGTGGTAGGAACGGCACCCATAACTTGCACCTGGATGAAATTCCGTAAGCAGGTAAATTGTTTTCTGGTCTGTTTTAACAATCATTGACAAAGTAGAGCTGGAAAAGAACTCCAATGACCCATCTTGTCCATCTCCCTTCCCCAGGAACTGGCAAAGTCCATGTCATTCCTGTCGGATGTTTTTCTCACCTCCGATGAAACATAACAATTATGAAGATATCACAACCTCCATTATCAGCCTATTGCAGTGCTTAAATATCCATAGTGTTAGAATTTTTTTCCTAATGCCAAAACCAAATCTTTCTTCCTACAGTTTAAACCCATTGCTGCCTGTCCCATCCTATAAAAAAAGACTGTTTATTTGAGAAAAGCCTTAGACCGTGTAGTTAAAGGATAGGTGATGTGAAAGGTATAGGTATTTGAAAAGTATCTGTCAGAGGAAACATTTCTCTCCTTGAAAAATAATCTCTTCTTCATTGATGCTTGATCTAAAGTTATGTCAGAGGGGCAAAATGCCATATAAGAAGCTTGAGTGAAATGTCTTACAACACAAACGTCACTATGCAAGGCACAACAGCAATTATGCTGCTGTGAGTGCCCTCACCCCCATTGGGTTCCTTCTACTTGAGTTAATTTCCTTGAACTATATGACGTGTCCATAAGGGCAGTTTCTAAAGAGAGTTGCTTAGTGAATAATAAAACCACTTTAAATCAAATAACCCAATATGCAAATACCAACTGGAAGATGAAGTGCCCTGTTGGGATAGAGCAAATGTAAATATGTACTGTAGCTGCTATTCTGTTTACTTCATTCTGAACTCATTATCACTCTATAGAACATAAATAAAAACATCTCCTCCTACAAGGAAGTTTAGACTCTAAATCCAGATGTGTCAGCATTTAATTGAAAGAATTCAAAACAGTTTGCTAGTGCAAAGAGTATTCCAGAGTCCAGCTTTGCTAACCCCAAATAACCTCTTGCTTTAGGGGAAAGGATGGTTTTTTTTGCTGAACTCCTATATTTTCTTAAAATTCTTTAGTGTCAAGACTGGAGTTAAAAGTAGCCTACTCATTTCTACAAAAATAGGTCTCAGAAGCTCCAGTGATATTCAGTGTCCTGTTTTGTTGAGCTCTGTCTCAACATATCAGTAAAACGTACCCCTCAAAAGTGAGTTTCTGGTTTGTGCATAATTCTGAGTTCATGGCTGAATACAACAATCCTATTTACATAGATTTCAATGACATTTTTATATAAAAAATCTATGTGATAACAGAGACCAGCAGCTCATAATACCTATGTCAGCTCCATAATCTGTGATTCTACACCTTTTTTCCTTTGTAAAATGCTATTTTTACCATCTTTATACTTTCTTCTTTAGTTATTCACTATGAGACAATCTGAAGGTTTGCAAAATGATACATTAAAATCACATAAATTTTTACATGGTTCATTATGGCAGGTGAATGAGGCAGAAAAGAAAAAAAACTTCAGGAAGGTTAACAAATGCTGTAGGAGGACAAGTGAGGGCAGCAGTCTTTCATTTATTAAATTAAATTGTGAGCCAGTACCTATGTACTATGCTGCACCATTATTTTGCTTTCTTTTTCACTTATATTTCACCACACATTTATTCTTGTATTTCTTCCTCTTCTATAAATGTGGTTGATTTCAACTCTGTTCCATTCCCTGTCCTAAAAGTGAAAATCACTCAAGTGTTCTTACAGTTTTCCTGGGGGCTATTTGTAGCAGTTATTTAAGCAGATCCAGTAAGTGGTGAGTTGTGATTCCCTGCCACTGTACGCTGCAGTGTGCAGGAGAGACTTGTCCTCTCCATGTTCCTTCCTCACATTCCCTCAGGTTCAAGAGAGCCACAGTGGCCTCTCACAGGTATATTCTGGACAAATATCTTTTGCTTGAAGAAAGGGAATGTCACAAAGTTGTGACCCATACTGTTGTACATAATGGCATTCTAGTGGAGGGATGCTGGAACTGTGCTCAGCTAAAAGGGGGAAAGCTTTTGAAAGCCTCTTTGTTATGTGAGGAACAAAGTCCATCATTTAACATTGGCAGTTGTTGGAGCTTCTTAGCTGCAACCAGTGACTTTCTTTTGGGAATACAGGGATCCAGTTTCCTGTTCTCCACACCATCCCAAGCCACTAAGCATCCTTTCAGGGCTTTCTCTGCATACTTTCAGGGCTCCTCCTGAATAACATAAATCTACTTCTACTCACCTGTTGGTTTGTTTTTTTTTTACTATTACCCTTTGACTAATGCTAGTGAAGCAAAACATATAAAGCAGTATAGAATCTCAGAAGAGCAAAGTATGGGGGTAGGGCAACAATTCGCAGTAGAATTTAAACTGTAATCCTACATAATCCCATTTGCTAACTTTCTGTTTGAGTTACTGTATGTTTGAGTTACTGTAGGAGCACCTTCCTCAGGTTACTTTTGGGCATATAGCAATGCACGTGTTCTACCTCAGTTGAGGAGAAAGCAGGGAAAGTCCCGCTCTTAGCCTTGTAATTTCTTATTCTCTGAATATATGAGACAAGATAAGGCAAACTAAATAGCCTTCATTTTTAATGAGATTCTGAGAATGAGTTGGAAGAGTCACATATCTAAGAAGGAAGTGGTGGGAGGAAGAAGGGCATTAACATTATGTTGTCTGTTTCGTAAGAACACAGTGTACAGCTTCTATAATTGCAGTGTAGCATTATGAGGTTTTTAAATAATCTGTCATGTCTCAAGATAATACTGATTAAAATCTACATCTCCTTGGACATTTATGCTATGATAGCCTTGTTTCAGTTGTTCATAATATGCCTATGGTATTCAGCTGAGATTTTGATTTTTGCCTCTCCAGAAAATAAAATGCTGTAGGAAAGCTAAATCTGTTCTTTGTATGTCTCTGCACAGCTGTAGCATTACACCTCCATTTCAGGCAACATCATCTTCAGTTGTTCAAACCCAAGAAACTGTTACCCTGATTTCTACAAAAATACAGAATAAGGCTGGTTAAGACAAGAGGGTAAAAGTCACAGCTATGGATGATTTTCACATTGGGCCTCTCAAGGGAAATGGCAAATGAATTAGGGTATTGAGAGCTAAACACTCGTTCCAGTGTGGTCTCTGTGAGATAACGTGATACTGAACTTTTTTCTCTTGTCAATTGCATGGTTTGCACTTTCGGCCTGTCAAAGAGGAGTTACAAAGTGAAACTCCTGTTCCTAGTGGAGTCCCAGCAACACCAATGCGCCCTGTTGTGTTTGCAGGAGCCATTATAATGTTCCACTGCAGTTCTACATGTTTCATGTTGATTACACTCTACCAGCTGCACATATTCACTGCTGTAATAGCGTCATCTGCAGATAACACTCAATAAGATAACCTTGTACTGCAATTTGAGCTCTTCCAGCTATAAAGAAATTGATCCCATAATTTTTTTTTTAATTTGGCAGATTGAAGAAAATGAATACATTAAAATTGAGAATGCTGAAAACAGCAGCAAGCTAACAATATCATTGACAAAGCAGGAACACTGTGGATGTTACACCCTAGTCGTAGAGAACAAACTCGGCAGCAGACAAGCACAAGTCAACCTTACAGTTGTTGGTAAGTCCATAATAATGTTTTAGACATATACTCATTCTTCAGACATCGCTCCACCTTTGCTTTATATATGATGATATGCAAATAAATAAATAATCAGATAGGTTAAGAAGACTGACATGAAAAACTAGTTCTTTAAAAAATATCTGGACAGTGACATTGTAATAAGGACCATAAGCAAATTTAGTGGGGCTATACTGTGTTTTGTTTTGAGAAAATACTAATTACATATGGAGGAACAAAATAGCTCAGACTTTAAAAAAAAACAAAACCAACCAAACAAACAAACAAACAAAAAAAAACAAAAAAAAAACCAGCTCATGTCTTTGTTTTTTGGTTAGATACCACTTCTTTTTCCCATTTAATGTTTGTATTATCTAGATGTTTGCTAGACTGCAAATTTTAAAACTGTTAGTTCAGGAAGGATTGAGATGGTTTCTATTAGACTGTAAATTTGAAAACAGCCTGTTGCTTGAGAGAGGGAGATTTTATCCTTTTAATTGAAATTCCTACCATTGCCTACTGTTTTAGTGTCCTAATGGATATGTGGGCTAGTAAGCTACTAACAAAAGCCGGGTATAAAGCCAAAGATGAAAATCTGACTCCAATGAAATCAATGGCAAAACACCATTAATCCAAGCTGGACTGGAAATTCATTCCACCAATCCAGTGAATAACATACAAAGTTTAATCAGTAGAATCACACTTTCAAGTACAATATCCACTGCTAAAGAGTGACAGTTCCTCAGTTGCATACTGCTGTACATGTTGTTAACATAGGCCTCCTGACTATTTAAATTAATTTCTTTCATCTAATCTGTGGCTTTGGTTGCAGTTAAAAGATAGCTGAATGAATGAGTATAAATATCAAGTAGATTCCAGCAATGTGCCAGAGAACTCAAGAACAAAAGAAAACAGAATAAGTACTTTTCACACAATGCATAGAAAAATTGTACTACTCCTTCCAACAGTGTGTTGTACATGTCAGAAGTATAGCTAAGTTAAAAATGAAAACAATGAAGAGTTGGTCCTTGAAAAATCATCATATACATTGTTCTGGCTACAACTTTTGGTTCCAAAGCTCTGACACAGCTGATTAGCAGCTAGAAGAATGGCAGGAGAGTAATCTCTCTTTACATTTCCCTTTTTCTCACTCTGTCCTAGGCAGCTGCTGCAGGCAAGATAGATTTTTTTTTAGCTGAACTAGGCCGACAATTCCTATTATCTTGTTAGTGTGTGAGCCTTGACTCATTATTATATAAGTCACTGCTTTATATCCTTTGGAGTTAATTGGTTTGAAAGTCTTTGAATTCTATAACCTTATAAAGCTACATCTCAGCCTCCTGCTCTGCTCTTCCATAAGAAACGTGCCAGAGAACAGTGGGATTCCCAGAGATGCTTTTGGGAGAGTTGGGCGAAGAATCCTTACAATGTGCTGGAGTTTGCCATGTGTTTGGCTGATGACAAGCTATCCATTTCCAACTGAAAAGAATAAATTCCCTCTTGTAAAATTGCCAAACTCTCCAGTGAGACATCTCACTGATGTCAGCACTGCCAGAGGCGTGACAAAGCCTCAAGATTCCTAGTTTGCTACACACGCATTTTAAGGCCAGAGTCTTCCATCTAGGTACTCAAAAACGTGGGAAAAGGGAGCAAAAATGTCTTCCTTCTAGGGAGTGGGTTAGAATCTCACTGCTGAGATAAAATCTTTCACCTTGTTTGCACCTTTAATTTCATGAAATTTCAAAGGTACTTTTCTCCCAAGCCTGCTTCAGTCAAAATAGGGAACTTATGCCTCTCTGAACAGGCAAAATGTGAGACTTCTTAGTCTACCAAAGTTCATCACCTGTCCATTCTCTCTGCTCCATCCAAAGTACTGGGAAGAAACTTGCCCTCCCTGCCATGACCCAACATTCATAACAAGCATTTGTGGAGAAGGCCCTGGTGCTAGACATCAGCTCTGTTTGTCTCAGCTATTTATAACAGGGCTCTAAACTCTGCGTGAGCTTCCTCCCCACAAGTTAACTGATAAAAGCCACATCTATGTGTATGCTGTGTGCTCAAAACACTGCTGACTGACCACAGTCCACAACTGAGTCCTGAATGCATTAAGGGAAACTACAAATACAGAACATCTGCCTTCTGGAGGAGTCTGTCTGAGCCAGCCTAGACCCATGTTTCTTAAAGAGCTAGTCAACAGGCTTGTCTGTTCTGAATTTTAGCAAATCAAAACCATTTGTTAAAATATAAAATGAAATAAGGAAGAAGTATTCAGTTCATTATTACTTCTTACAACCATATGGATTGCAAAGTCTTCATGCTGATGGGTGAGCTTCTCATGCGAAAAACTCCAATAAGCATTTCACAAATTAAATTTGCAGTGTACCACATGCCAGCGAGCAGGTTGCCCAGAAAAGTTGTGTAGTCTCCATTCTTGGAGGTCTTAAAGTTCAGACTGGATAAGCATCTGAACAATCTGGTCTGACCTTATAGCTGATCCTGCACCAAGCAGAAGGTCTAAAAACCTTCCTGAAGATATTCAAGACTATTCTGGATGTTGTGTTTTTACTTGTGGTTGTAGAAGACCTTTCTTCACAAAAAGTAATATTATTGACTTCCCTCCAACCAGAGGACAAAGGCCGGTGCTTATCTGCCAGGATACAAATCATAAATGATTCTGCTGTGATTTAAACCCCAAGTCCTAGACTGTAAACTATAGCTGGGTATGATTTTTATAAATGATTTTTAATGACTTTTAGAGAAAAAATCTACCCTGCATTCCTTTGAAATTGGCTCCTAAAGTCTTAAATTTAACTGCTCACACTATTAAGACTCAGACTTCACCTGCAAGCTTAACTGAACTGAGCAGGGGTTCTGACACTTAAAGATTTTGAGTAGTATATGATCCAATGCAGTCTGGGCTATAGGAAATTATGCTCTTGAAATAAATCAAACTTTATTCACAGGATTATTGTTTTTCCGTTTGTGATTTTAATGAGTATCAATGAACAAAGTGTCCGTTACACTCAGTCTCCAGTGTGAGCTGTTTGCAGTCCACATGCTAGATGCACAGAAATGTAGTCAAGTTATAGGAGACTTGTTAACTGATAGGCAGTACAGTGTGGTGACGAGCACTGAGCCACAAAGACTGAGTCTTGAATTTCACATTGATTAATTGTGTAACTGACTTTGTCTGTATAAGCACAAATACTACTGAGAGACCTGCAGTAGAAGTGAGACATCCAAGTTAAGCAATGTCGTCTTTTAAAGGGTTGACTGGTCCCAAAATGTCCATGTTGAGCTCTTCTCCATTGTTATGATTAGCTCTCTTAAATAAGCAATTTCATTAGCTGAGTGATCTCCCTAGGGAGATTTTGCAACATGTTTCTGCTCCAAAACCAAAATGGCTTGATGTGGGACTGAGCTAATGATTTACAGCAGACGCTGTGTCAGATAGGACTGATTTAAGCAAGGTAGAGCCCTCACTGCACAGTGATAGCAAGGAATATTCATTCCTTTCATGCCATTTATTGGATGTATATGGGTAAATTTATCAGATTTATGATTCTGAATGTATTAGCTATGTGACAGGAGATACCCCAATCTGTAGCCACTTTTGAGAAAGTTTTCATACTGGCTAAAGCTGGATACTATGTCAAAGAGACAAAAGAATAATGGCATATTCAACGAGGAGAATTTGACACTAGAGAAGCAATCTGTTCTGCAGCTATGCCACAAGCTTCCTTCATGATTTTTGGGAAAATTCCTTCATGTTTCCATGCCCAGTATACAGGGGTTTTCTGATGATCAGTGTTCGGTGAATACTTTGGATATTAATAATATCTTTTACCTTTTTCAATACAGATACAAAAAAGTATGTACTACCAATCTGGGGGCTGATTTTGATCAACCTTATTTGTCTTTTAAAATCCTTTAGATTTGTATTATTCCTGATGTGGTAGTGTATATATATATATATATATATAAAAGTCATGGTAATTATTGAGCTATATGGTAGAGTTACACAGAAGAATAAGAGCAATATAATTATACCCTGAAAGACCTAAAGATAATTGTTATGGTGTTTTTATTACTCTAAGCATTTGTGCACATACTGTGCACTGCGTCCTCGTGCACTGCTGGAAAGTGATAAGCCAAGTACTAAAGGACACTTACACATAAGCATGTCACACACAGGCATACAAGCAGCGTAACATGAATTCACTAAGTAATACCTGCTCCTCTGCATGAGGTTACAGTTCCATACTTGAGTTGGGATGGAGAAGTTACTTTCTGTGAGGAAACACAGAAAGGTACTTCTGTATCTTTAGCAGGATCTGCATGAGCAGTGTCAATCCAAGCAAAAATGAGAATATGCACGTTTAGCTTGAGAACAAGATCTGATCATCACTAACACCAATAGTCGCTGAATATAATGGCAGGATTATTAATTGCTTATATGAAAGACTTGGTCCTGGTACAACAAGTGACATATGTGCATGCTATATTAGCATTAGTTCTTTGCCCTGACACTGTTACAAGGAAGCATGGTAGTATGACCAATAGTTCACAGTGGCCCTATCAGCATTTTTTGTGAGTGCCTGAGAAGTGTTATCCACTCGGACTGGTTGGATCCTGGTGGTCAGAATCTGCGTGTTCTCCCTCTGGAAAAGCAAGTCTGTAAGCAGACAGTGAAGCAGAACAACCATAGGCCCTTCTACAGAGAATAGTGCAGCTCAGAAGTGCTAACATGAAAGCTGCTGAAACCTCATCTTCTTTTGAGAAGCATCAGATTATATCTTGCAATATCCATGTGATTCTCTGTTTACAGTTAGGGTCAAGAATGCAGTGAATTTCCTAAGAACATGTGGGTGGACTCAGTCTCTAACCTTTAGCCTTTTGAATTCCTCTGGATTGCTGGAGGGTTTTTGTCACCAGTGTTATGGTTAAAGGGCAATTAGACTGGTGGTTAAGGAAGAGATGTCCTACGCTGCTGTTGTTTG